TTTGTTTATTTAGAAATTTTTATTTCATAATTCGAAATTTAAAAATAAAACAAAATTTAATTGTTTTTTTTTCTATTTTACTATAGAAAACACTCAAGATACAAGACGTGCCGATTGTGGCATCGGGAGGAGGCAGTGGTCTACCACCACCAGCCGCACCCGTACGTCTAATACTTTCTATGAGTGAATTGCATTTTTATTGTACGAATTATGAGATCTATAATGATACAAACATATTTAAATTTATGACGAATTTTTCCGTTCTGGAGAAATCTTTTCATTTGAGTTTATAGTTATGATAACAGATTTTATAATCTTTGAATTTATTTTTTAAAGAACATCTGTTTTTCACAAAAAAAAACGCTTTACTTTGCTTGATAATTATCGTTTCTTCTTGAAATTATTCAAAACACATAAGATATAGAATATAGAAAAAAAAACTGACATTAAATAAGTTTTAATGCTTTAAATTCGACATATTCACTTTTCAACTTTAATCCTACTGATTTATGGATAATTATACAGGATGTTTGTATCTGTTGTGCAATAGAAGTTTATTAATATTCTACAGTACTGGTCAAAAATATAAAATCAACGTATTTTTTTTCTTGAATATCAAACATTTAACTCAAATCGAAATATTAATTTGAATAGTCAATGAAGTTTTCTGTCAAATGTATTCTACATGAATATTTCATAGATAGACCATGAGAGGTGAGTTTCGGAAAAATCAAACACAATATCTTTCAGCTTCCCAAAGACTGTGTGAAAATTAGTTTTTAAGAGTATCATCTTAAAGAGCATAAAATCCTAAATAAAATGAAGGATTGTCGCATTTCCTACGGCCTTCCTTTAAAAAGTTATAAGCATCACAAAGCGAAATTTATTACAACATACTAAAAAACGAATTTTTTTTTTGTTTTTTGTAATGTTTATTAATTTTGTGCTCTTTAAGATTATACTCTTTAAAACTAATTGCTACAATCTTCTGGAATCTGAGTACTATCATTTGGATAGAGAACTTCATTGGCTAGTCATACACTATTTGGATTTGAGAGTTAGATGCTTGATATCCAAGAAAAAAATACGACATGTTCATTTTGATCTACGCTTAAAACATATAGACTTACTAAGTCTACAGTATTCTTATATTCGTTTTTTTGTCAATCAAATAACATGTTATTAGTCTATTTTCGAATAGGTCTATAATGTTAACTAAGTGATTGAAAGATAAAATTTGGTGTTAGTCTACAAAAAAGAAATAAGAATAACACACACACACAAATTGGTAGGCAAAATAGTCTTCGAATCTTAATCGTACAAAAAGAGATTGCAATTCACTCATATATTAATTATCCTTTTATCTTTTGGTTTTTTTTCGTTTATTGCAGAAAAAAGAAGAAGAAGAAGAAGAAGAAGGTGTTCGACCAACATCTCAATCTGTATTTAAAGTACGTTTAATCAAATATGATGAAACAAAGAAAGTACCTGTTATTAAACAAGTAAAAGATGTTGTTGAAAATATCAATCTTGTTCAAGTTAGTATAATTTTTCATATATATATATTCTCTTTACATTCATTTGTTTGATTAATTTTTAGGCGAAAAAATTAGTTGAATCAATTCCTCAAGTCCTACGCGATAATTTAAGTAAAGCAGATGCCGAAACAATGAAAGCTAAAATTGAAGCAGCTGGTGGTATATGTGTTATTGAATGAGAGTATTAAACAAATCTTTTACTCTCAACTAGTCCGAATCGTTATATACTCTTGTTAGTTTTTTTTTGTTATCCTGTTTTGTTTTGTTTTTTTTTTTTTTGTATAACAACAGAAAAAACCTCCGTGATCGTTTTGTTAACTTTTTCTTCCTTATCTTCTATGAAGAGTTATTTCATGAAAGAGACACAAAACGACATTCGAACAGTTCTGTTTGCCAACGTTTTGTTTTTTTGTCCGATATTATTATTCTTGCTGTTAGCAAAAAAAAACAGAGAATTTTTTTTTTCATTCATTTCGTAGAAGTTTTAGATGGAAGCCCAGGTAACAGAAGCAGTACGACAAGCGGGAAATTTGCAAAATCTTGTTGATCAAAATGGAAAGTTATTAGAAAGACGACCACAAAATGCAGATGGTAAGGAGAATTCTATTCGAATATAAGGAAAACAGGAACAACCTCTGAGATGAAGATTGAAAATACCATATTAATAAAGTAGAATTACTCTTTGCTTCTTGTTTTTTTTTGTGTAAAAAACTCGACAGTAAAACATTATTGATATTTTGCGTGTTCAGAAAATGAAACAATGAAGAGAAATTTTTTTTGGACGAGTTGAAACAAATTAAATCTCGTCAATATCATATAAATGTGTCAAGTTTTATTTCAAATATTTGTTCAGCATATCAACATTTACTTATAATAAGTCATGACAATCGCAAATGATTTACTGCATTGAAATGTTTTTTTCTCGGAAGTTGAAACTACGTAATTAAAATCACTAAGAAATTCTTATAGGAAATACATTCATAATTTTGTATTCGAATAGGAAATTTCTCTCTTCTTCAATTTTGACTAACTTGTATTATTCAATCGAAAAAATTAACAATTTGAATCATATAATTGAGAGAGTTTCTTTCAAAGGACTCAAATCAAAAAAAAATCAGACGTAAGATCAAACTAAATTGTAAACTCCTTGTCATCATAGAAGCTTCTCGATGCTTCTAAACTGTTCAAAAATTTAGGCGGAGTTGGGTGTTATCGAAGAAAAAACCCACATATCTATACCATAACTTGACATTATGAGCAGAAGAAATATGAATTTAATAATCTGCAATGGATTTTCAAATATCTATTTCTAGACAATGTAGCAGTTACAGAATACGTAGTGATCATGATCTCAAACGTCGATGAAAATTGAAAATGATTTCTACAGATTATCCTTAATCATGAGTATTTTACGTTTGGAGAAACATTTTTTTTTATACGTAGACGGCGCCTGGTCAAAACTGATTTAATAGCATCTGCGAAGTTTTGCTCGAAATCTAGGACTTGTAATATGGAGAGTCTTCTATTTCTGGAAGTGTTTTACAAAAAAATCTTACAAGAGAACACATACAACTGTTGGTGGCCGTTCGACTCCATATTTTGGCTCTAAATATAACTCAGTGAAACTAAGAAAATCGCAAAAGGGTTTGGGTCCATACTTACCCGGCTAAAGTTATGACCATTCTAGTGAGTTTTCAACCTTTGAGCCAGCTACTTATAAAAAACTCAAAGACGAGATTTTCATCTGAAATTTTGCTTACAGGCAGGTCTCACGACTGCTAGAATATCCTAAGAGTTGCAGCTCAGACAAATATATTCTTCGTGACATGTTGAGTATTCAAAAAATGCTGATATATTACCAGGCAAGCCGTAGAAAGTTGTCTTAGACACTTGATATCTCTGGAAAAAAAATTTTTTTTTTTTTGAGCTGAAATTTCGAGGATATTCTAGTAACCATGAGCCCTATCAATGGATGAAACTCCAGAGGAAAATCTCATCATTGAATTTTTTATGAATAGCTGACTCAAAGGTCGAAAACTACTGAGACAGTCATAAATCTGATTGAATAACACATGGGGGCCGAACCCATTTAGGATTTTCTTAGTTTCAATCAGTTCTACTCAAAGTCAAACTATAGGGTTGAATAGGTCCAACAGTTGGATATGTTCTCTCGTCAGTTTCAGGAGTTTTACATTAAATCGTACTATGAGAGTCTTCTAAGATCCTACTGCCATATAAAAATTCCTATACTCTTATAGTAGTATCTTACAAAGCAGCAAGATTTTTCAAGAATCTTATAATATGACTTATCATAATATTTCTGTGGCTAAGATTTTTTGTATAATTTTCGTCAGATTATTTAACCTGGAAAGAGAATAGTCAATCCTGTTGATTCTAATACTCTTATGTCTGACAAAGTCTCATAAAATCTTAAAGCGCACTGTTTCCATCCTGATTCGCATGATGATGATGCAGGTTGTTATGTTTAGCAAGAATTGTCCAATGTACTTTGAATTAGTAGTCGACAAGCTCGGATCTGATGAGAACGTTCTCTGATCTGTTCGGACAGCTCACTTCTAAGAACTAGACTGGAAGCTGATTAACCTCTAATTTGAATTGAAACTATTTTCTCACAGAAAAATAGACAAATAAATTTTATTACAAAGAGATCATTCCTTTTCATGTTAATTTTCAATTTTTCAGAAATATACCGTAGCACAGCGGATGCTTTATCTCATGAATTCGATCAAGATTATTCAAAAATAAGTCATTATATTCAAAGAAAACTTGATTGGCCACTTTCATTTAAACGTTTACTTCTTCATCACGTCCAAAAAGATGTATATGATAATAAAGGTAAACTTGATAATATTGCAAATTTTGTATTTGATCCAACAGCAAATATCAAACCAAGACGTAGTTTTCATATATTAATTCCAACAATTGCTTCAGTTGAACGACAATATGGTTCTGGTGTTAGTGCATTATTTCATCTTCAAAATGGATTTTTTTTTATTAATTTATTAACATTAATTGTTTGGCTTGCATTAATTATAATTCCATATAATGTTTTAAAATCATCAACAACATCTTCAAATTTAACATTTACATTTGCATCAATATTTACAACAAAAGATTATTTATCTGAATCAAATCTATTTCAAGGTTCTTATCCTAGAGGAGTAATAAATGATAAATATAATTTATCACTTATATATTTAATAACAACATATATTTATTTTATTATTTGGTTTATTTTTATTACAATACGTTTTTCAATAACATATAAACGAAAAGTATTTAATTCAATATTAAGTGCAAAACTTGGTATTGGATTTATGTGTACATTTGCACGATGTGATTATACAATTAAATCAGATAAAGAAAAACGAAAACATATAAAAGCTTTTCAAAGACAATTTTTAGATTTAATTGGAAATGATGAAACTATTGAATCGAATCATCAAAATCGATTTAAAACTTGTGGATATAAATTTAAACTAGTTATAACAAGTTTACTTCATATTGTATTAGCTATTGGATTAGGTAAGATGAATAAAATCAAATAATTTGATATATTTTTGTTTATTCGATTTAAAGGTGGTATCAATTGGTTAATTTTATCTTCTTGTAATAATCCAACTATTGATTGTTCTGGATCAATTATTTATATAGCTCTTATCAATCGATTAATGCCATATTGTATTGTTCTTCTTACACAAATTGAACATTTTAAATCTTTAGCAGATAAATTGAATGCAGTAGGATTTAGGTTAGTATTAAAAGATATTCTAAAAACTATAAATATGTTGACTTTGATCATTTATTAAAAATGATAAAGATAAAAAGTTTCGTTTTGAAAATAATTTTGTGTAAATAAATTAATAACTTTTTTCGTACTATGTACCTTGACTGAGAAAAATTTTCTAACACTTACTTTACACATCTCTAGACATATGTGACTAGTCAATTATGTAGTTTTTACATCCTACTGAGATGTCTGAATGTCCATTAGACTTGGAGAATGAATCTTTAAGTTTTGTTTAATTTAATTGTTTTATATGACTGGATCTCGAGAATTTTTACAAGAATTGGAATGAATATTCATCAGTGTTGATATGTGAGTAAATTTTCGGATTTGTCAAATAGCATATATTGATTTTGGTTTTGTGAATTGTGTAAGTTTTTTAGTCAACTTGCTAGAAAGTTATGAATTTAATCAATAGTCTATTGAAAAGATAGAGCCAGAATGATTTCTAAAATTTGATTTAATGAAAAGTTTCTTGATCAATAGATGGACACTAATGAATCGATATCATATCAAATTTAACTTGAATAGTTTTTATCGATTATTTGTATTCAGCTACTAGCACACTCTACATATTTTTTCGACAATCTTGACAGTGATCTTATAGTAATCCATACAGGCTACATATTTACTAAACGATAATTCGATAATATATTTTTCTTTTTGTAAATCAGAAAATGATTAACATTTCGTTAATTGATCAAGAGTATTTTATTGATATTCATTCTTGAAATATTTCTTTTTATTTAGATGTATATTCTTGAACGTATCGATAATGTTATCATTTAGTATATATTTTTTTATTCATGCACCTCCATGTTATGAAACAGCTTATGGTCAATATATCTATATACTTCTGTTATCAGGTACATTTCAAAAATACTTTAATGATTTTAAATATAAAATATTTCTTGTAGATTTATTTGCATCATTAGTCTTTCCAATTTTATTTGGTCTTTTATTTGATATAATATGTGGTAAAAAAAAACGTAATTTTGATGGTATTAATCTTCATGTTCAATTAAGTCCACCTGTATTACTCTATAGTCAATTTCTAGTATGGCTTGGAATTTATTTTTCTCCTCTTATATCAATAATGATATTAATAAATATTTTATTTTCATTTATTTCTCATCGTTTATATATATATATTCGTTCACTTCGTTCAGACTCATATAAACGTGTTTTTATTTGGAATGCTCATCGTCTTGAATATTTAATATATTTATTAGCTTATATTATTTTAATTGTAAGTGTAACATTTATTGTTGTATTTACAACACAAATAAAACCAAGTGAAAATTGTGGACCATTTCGTCAATTAAATGTTTCATATGAAATTATTGAAATTTTTTTAAATGAATATCAATCATCTGTTTTATGGATATCAATTATTAATTTTTTAACATCACCAGGTTTTATTTATTTTCTTGGTGCTACTTTTATTGTTATTGTTTATAAATTAAGACATGAATCATTAGCTGAAAAAGAAGTAATATTTATATCAAATCATTTTTGTTGTTAATTTATATCAATTTTGTTTATTTATTATATTTTAGCTTGTATTCATACGTGATAGTAATCTTGCAAATAAAAAAAAATTACGAGAAAAAACAGTGAAAAAATTACATCAACAACAAAAGAATAAAAAACAAAAACGAAAACCTGTTAAAATAACACGAGTTGAGAATGATGATTATGTTCAACGAGATGAACAACTTTAAAAAATTATCTGATTATATATCTTTCTTTTGTTCCGTCCATATTTATATTTTTCTTTTTTGTTTTTGACATATTCTTTACAATATTTTAATTCATCTATCTTCCGTTTTTTTTTCTTATAATTTAATTGTATATTGATAAAGAAAGTTGCAATCTAGAAATAAATCTAAATCTCTATGTTTTGTTTTCTTACGAGAATATACGACGAACTACGAAACATCACTTGTTTACGCATACATTTTCGTGAAACTTATGAAATCATAGGGAGATTTTTCTATTACAAACTCTTAATATTATCACTGAAAATATTCTGTATGACAGAATATAGTATACAGTAATGGAAAGGACAAAAGTTTTACTTCTTTTCTATCATGTATAACATCATTGTAGAGATTCGATTTCGTTTTCGAAAGATAGTTCATGATTTTCTCTATAAGCATTTGTTTTTTTGAAAATGTTTTACCTGAATATATTGGATTTACATTATTTTGACTGAGTTGTCAGACTTAGAAAGAATTTTGTTAATTTTAACTTATAGTATAAATGATTTTCGAACTTTTTTCGACGCGTATTAGAAAATTTTGACAGTGATCAATAAAACCATGTTAAAAGATTCTTGTTGAGACTTTCGATTGCCAAATAATAATAATTTTTCGAGATGACTAACATTGTGACTTTAAAATTGACGATATTGAGTTTCAAAAATACTTTCTTATCCTGAAATAAATGAAGTTAATCTGTTTTAAAAGATACGATTGATAGAATTTTGAATGCACTATCTGTCAATGTATTCGAACGTTTACTTCTCTCTTGTTACAGAAAAAATAATAGCATAATACATTCTCTAGAAAATTACGAAATGCTCTTTCCATCATTCAAAATATTTTAAGCGTTAAAATACATTCCTATGTACGATATATATGTTTTTGTAAACTAGTTTGTAGGAAAAACTCATGAATTATCTTTCAAAACAACAATTGATCCTATATAATGCATCTATACTGAGCTAAAGAAGAAATAAAAATAATGCAAAAACTTTGATCCTTTTCGTTATACACTATATGTCTATTCTCTCCATTGTACACTGGAAAAAAAGTGAAAAGATATCTGTTATTGATATAGAAAGTACTTCTGATTCTGCTTGAAAGGAAATGAATCATTTTAAAGATTTTCAAGTTTTCACGAGGAAAGTTCTCCAACTCTTCCATCACCTGTGAGTCGAAATTCGAAAATCATTTTTTCTGTTACTCCGATATTGATTTAAAAAATAACATAAGCTGGAGTATCTCTGTAGCAATCAACTAAAGACACGAACTCTCTTCAGGATATTCATAACACGTTTAGATTTACATAATGCATATAGTCTCGACTCAAAAACGATTAAACAGTTAGAGGACTTCGATAGGCAAAATAAGAAGTCAAATGGCATCTTACAGTTGGAAATAATCTCTGATTTGATCTTGTTGTAGTTTATGTCATTTCGATTTAGTTTCTATTTCATTAACGATTAATTTCAAATAACTTTTGTTTTAGATAGAAAATTTTCCATTTATTTCAATTGAAACACACTGACAAAGTCTTGTAGTTCGAGGTAAATAGTTTTTATTAAACGTCTTTCATATGATTTTCTTAAGATAATGTTTTATGAAATAGTTCATAATATCAAGAAATTTTCATGCTTTTTTTTCCTCAGTTGTACAATTGAACATTTAACTTTTATCTACTCAGATATCTTCAGCAATAAGTCCATTGCAACCGCAAGCATCATTAACATCCCCTCTAACTCAATCCCAAAAAGTTACTCATTCCTAAGAGTAGGTCGAAAAGATTTATTTCTATCTATTGATATCGAAAGAACCCCGTCGATAAATATCTTAGTTTCACTAATCTCTAGGATTAACGCGATAAGCACCTGAAAGGAGCTATGGCTCGAATACCTTTTTTCTTTTTTACTAATTTGTATTCATTTTTAATGTTAATGATGAATAGGATGATTCATGTAAAATGAAAAAATTTCTATCAAAAATTTCCGCATCTATTATTGACAGAATAAAAAAATATTATGAGCAATGTGGTCAAAGTGATGATCGTTTTCTATCTGGTTTAACATATAGACTTTTATCAACCCACCACCTGATGGATAACTAAAACCTTGTACACGTACTACTTAGATTTATATTGTAGGAGAATTTTATAATTGAAAAATTCAACATTCAAATAGCTATTCAGGAAGTAAGAGAAACAAATATTCGCGAAATAAATTTAAATAAATTTGTAGATTTTATCAGGCATATAAAACTGATTATATTGGTAAAAATACTTGTGATAATGGAACTGACTTTGATATATTATTTATACATCGTAGTACTAATGCATATATCGGTAGTGAAGAAACGGCAAATATTTGTGTTTGATTCATCGACTTTAAAAAATTGAAATGCATTTAGAAAGACATTGATTGAATCAATTGAAGTCAAACAAGAAAAGTTACGTTTGAAATCTCCATTTCCTGCTGATATTGGTCTCTTCAATTGCCTAACAACTGTAACTAATGTTGTTGACACAGTTGGCTTTCTACCACAAATATGTTATGATTGGTTTGCTTCATTTGGATGTGAATGAAATTGTGGAACTTAAGTTTGTTGCTTATATTATTTTTATTAATCATAAAAAGATTTTTTCTATTTAATTATTTTCAATTGGCAGACATGTGAAGAACTTAGTGACAGTTGAAGAAAAAATTCAAAACAATAAAAGAATTTATTAATGAAAGATATGCTAGTGGTATTCAAGATGGATAGACCAATCTATTAGTGATTATTCCAGGTGAATCATTCGTTTTGTTCAATTTACAAAAAGTACTAAAAGATACGAAAGAACAATTTGATTTAAATAAATGGATATTCCAGAATTTTAAGACTTAAGATGCTTCAGTTCTTGTTCAATCAGGTTCATTTTATGGAAACTGTTATTATTATGAAGAAGTCGACAAATATTATTAAAGCTAGTTTTTGATCTCTTTGATTTTTACAAAGATGAATCTTGTAAATAAATAAATAAATATTTATATATAAACTATTTTCATATTTTAATGTATTTCGTATCATGAAGGTACTGTTTAGTTTGCTACAGTAATGAATCAATTTAGTAAATGAACTGTTTTATTTTAAAATTCCAGTTTTTCCTTTTCGTTTCGTCACAAATAGAAAGAACATACTATTTGTACTTTAAGTGATTTTGCTCACTGATCAATTCAAGTAAATCCCTTTAAAAATCTAATTAAGATCTCACGTCCTCCAAAATCGATTTTTCGATGCAGTGCATAGAATTCTCATGAAACTCTCTGATGATGTTTGACTAATGAAAATACACCACCAAAAACGTTTTCACGGCTCCGAACCTTACTCTTCAGGTGATTCCCAAGACCCATTGTGAAAAATAGCGTTTTCATGCGTACATATATTTTTTTTCAATAGACTTCAACCTACAACGCTCGGACTACTCTCATTTCAAAGAGAACTCCTTATTCCTTCAAATGAGGAAAAGGATTTTTTAGTTTCTATTTTATTTTATTTTTCGGGCCCTCAAAATCTTAAAACTTCAATGTTGTCTAGAAACTTTATGATTAGTTTTATATTGAGAGTCAAATAAAAAAATCCTTTTCTTCTTATCTTATTCAAAAGAGAATGTGTCTATCTATGGAATAAAAACGAAACTGAAGTTCAATAGAATGATCACTATCGAAAAGAACAAAAAGTATCTTTTTCCTTTTAAAAAAACCGATTTTTTGGAGGTGGAAGGAAACTTTAAGAGATATTAAATTATATTTAATAAGATCTTATTCGACATTTTCAACATAAAACGAAACATCGTTGAGTTGAATATATAACCAAACATCGAGATACAAATCAAATCAATATGGTTACTCTCTAATCATTTTATTTTCTTCTGTATTGTACAGTTCTTTTTTTTTTTTATTCAATAAATTTCCTATCAAAGCTGTTAAATTTATCAGTATATGGAATATCTATTATTTTCTTTTTATAGATTTCATTGTACATGTACAAACATTTTATTGATCCTGATTCTACAGATAGTGGAGGTTATGAACGTCGTCCACGAGGACCAAAAAAATCTGATGAAAATAATGAATATTCAAAAAAATCTTCAACTCTTACTAATCCTCACGTAATCGATAATAATCATCTTGAAAAACCTTGTAAAGCTTGTATTGACTTTAAAGATTGGTTAAAACATAGTAGTAGTACTAATATCGAAAGAAAACCAACTACTGTTGATCAACAAATTTCAATTAATGCTCCATGTCCATTAATGCGTGATGATTTAGGTCGTGCATCATGGTCATTACTTCATACAATGGCAGCTTATTATCCAAATGAACCAAAAAAAGAAGAACAACAATCAATGAAACAATTTATTAATTCATTTTCAAAATTATTTCCATGTCCTGAATGTCGAACCGATTTTCAAGAAGAAATTATTAAATCACCACCTGATGTTTCGAGTTGTATTGGACTATCAACATGGATGTGTGAACAACATAATATAGTTAATAAAAAATTAGGAAAACCTGAATTTGATTGTAAACGAGTTTTAGAACGATGGAAAGATGGACCAACAGATGGTAGTTGTGATTAATAATATGAGTTTTTTTTTTCTATTATGTTTTTTTTGTTTGAATAAAATACAACAAAAAAAGTAAATTGAATATAACAGAATTTTTTTTTTTGTCATGTACAATAGAAATTTTTAAGCAGATTTAGTACCATTTATTACGGTTGCGAAAATTTTAGGATCAACAGCAACAATTACATTAAGAACAACATTTACAATAGCTAAAAGAACAGATAAAATAAGTGAAAAATTATTTAATGATATTAAACGATGTTGTCGACGTTCTTTTGATATATCATTAGTACCCAATAAAACCAATATACATGCATTTACAACTTGAATAAGCAACGATATACAAACAAGTGCAAGACCAACATACCAAAGTGTATCTTGATTTGTTTGATTACCAAGAAGAGTTTTTAATTGTACAGCATTTGTTACAAGTAATGCTATTTCAATACTACTATTAGCCAAAGTTTTTTTTGTTGCATAGTTATTAAATGTAGTGTGTCCACCATTTAAAGTATCGTGACGATTTGTATGATCTTCCATATCTATTGTTTGTTTCGGCATTCTAGATGAACAAAAAAACAAGATGTTTGTTATTCTATTCTTCAAAACACCTGACAGTAAAACAACAACACATGTCTACAAGTTACAAACAGCTGACTCATATACGATTATTTGATACCCTCTCTATTTCGTGATTGTATTTGATTTTAGCAAACGAGGTAAAACCATGAAGGTTGATAAAAAAAAATATTCAAGATTATTTTAATCCGTTTCTTCTTGTTTTGTCTGAATATAAACTTACATTTTATTAATATAATCGTTGCAGATTGAGTCTTATCTACGTAAAAGAAAAGAATAAATGTATTTTAGAACAATGATGACCGTTTTTAGATGTCTTGTATATTTTTTTTTCTTCTGCTGTTACTGTTCGTTCTCGTTTGTTGATCGGCGGAGATAGATTACGGCGAGGTATCGACAGAAGAGAACAGTCGAAAGAGAGAAAAAAAAGAGACTAGTCTTGACACAGAAAATATAGCAGACTATTAATATACGAAGAGAAAAAAGTGATGAGAATGATGAGCAAACAGACGATAACCCCGTTATCTTGCTTGTTGCTATAGAATATGAGAATGAAAGTCAAAAAAAAAAAAAAGATTTGATACCATTGTTAAACAATTAAAAAGAATGTGTATATAAAATGTTCAGACAAAAGGTTGCCGATAAAGATCATGGCAATTAAAAACATGAGGCCACAACATGAGACAATGTGAATGTTCAACCTTCTCTTCTTTTTTTTCTTGTTTCTACCGACTGACATCACGTAGAGAAAAGAAATGTATAAACCTTCATTCATTCATTCTTTTATTTTTTTTTTTTGCTCTATCTCAATATTTGCCAAGTTGGACACATAATACACAGACATACAACATCTGTTAACATGCCGACTAAATTATTTTTTTGAGATAGAGATGAAAGAGATTTTCTAATAAAAAATTCATATCAAAATAATAGTTCTAAAATTGACACATTGATAATATCGTTCCAATCATTGGTAATGTTTCTTTTTGATGACGAAAGAGAATCTGATCAATGGATGTATTTTATTTTAGCAATATTATATCATCATTCGACGCTCTTACTACATGAGTCATATGATATTCTTCACATTAAATCTTGAGTGCTGATATTATCAATACAACTTGAGTCTTATCTTGAGGTCTTTAGCTTTTTGTCATTAATGTTCATATATAAAATTATTTTGTGAGATAAAAAACAATTATGTTTTTATTTTTTTTCATAATCGAAAAAAATTTCATTGTCTTTCAAGCTGTTATGCGGCTTGTCCGCGTAACGCGACACTTCGCTGATCAAGTTTTGAAAAAATTTTTTTTCGAGTTGGACAGATCTCATTGGACTATTAGATGCAGTTTTTTACGCTGATTACGAATTCGATATTGATTTAGCATAAAAATCAGATTTTGATATCAAAAGTCGGATTTTAAAATTTTCAAAAACCGTATTTTGGATTTTTTAACCAAGAAATTTTTTCAACAAGGGCTAAGAGACATACCATTCAATGCAGAATTAAATTCTCTACAAAATGGTCTATTTAGTTTTGACTTTGGTAGCTTAGAATGGATCGAAAGCTTCGATAAGGTTTCCAACTTCCTGCCCAGTTTATAAGCTCTCAGATCGATGTATCAATCTCATTTTTTCAGAGGAGATTGTCTACTTATAAAACAGTAACAATTATAAAAATCAAGTAATTCCGAGTACACTAAGTGCCTCAAAATTGGTCAACAAAAAACTGTGTAACAGTGTTACGAAAAACGTAACAGCGTTACGTTTGTTTTTTGCATTTTTTATTTGAACAAAAATGTTTTAGAGAAAATCTTTTTTACTGCCTGAAAGTCTATTCAATGCTCTACAAAAGTGATTCTTGGAGCATTACATTTGAAGAAATGATTTCGCAAGAAATTAGAGTTTTCTCAGTGGCACTGGAAGAAAAGGGTCCTTTTATGTAACAGCGTTACGCCCTGATAAAACTTTTCTAGATGCCTGAGACTTCAATCAAAAAAGGTCATTTTTATATGATAAATGAAGTTCGATAAGCTGCGTCGAATGACGTTTGAACGAACTTCCTAGCTCTTAAACTTTTCGAGAAAGTTGGAGAAGAGTATATCAAAAACGTAACAGCGTTACGTTTGGACAAGCCGTATGATTGAAAGTAAATGATTTAATTCATTTGTGCTAATATTTTCAAATGATATAAAAAAAGAAATTTAAAAAAAAAACAGGGATTACTCCTACGACCTTCGACAATTTTTGATTTTTTTTGTAGCGAAACCGAACGATTTTCCTCTTTTTTTTTTGCTTACCAATTCTCGTAACAAGAATCGATCCCTTCCCCGAATCTTGATGACCTCGGGATGTCCCTGAAAAAAAAAACATATTGTCGCCATCTGCCGCCTGAAATTTAATAAATTGACTTGATAAAATAACTTTTCCTTGGAATTGTATTCTGTACAGTTTTATGATCGAGCGAACTATTATTTACATGTTCTCATATTTATATTCAACAGTAATAATTATTTATGTAAATTCGCAATCAACTTCTTTTATTTAAACTTCATAAGTTTGATTAACATATTGAATATTGACTATAGTTGAATGTTGATATTGAATATCTATGAGTATTTAGTACGACAAATTCATTCAAGTAAATTATCAGTTCTCTATTATTTTATACAGTCTATTATGTTTCGTTTGACAATTCGATTTATCAATTGAGAAATTATATTTCAATATAATCAATTGTCAAAGGCGAGAATATATCGAGTATTGATCTTTGTGATTGTTTTGTCAAAGAAAAAAAAAAGTACATGAATACTTTATTCATTGATACAGCGTACATTACGAACACCTAATGAAAATCAGACAAAATAAAGAAAAGTTAGATTTCTGTATCATTTTATGAAATATAGTGAATAATATTTTAGTTCTAGAAATTGTACTATATTAATTACCGTCTGACATATCGAATCGATAGTAGAACGAAATTTTGCATAACAGTCATTTTATGACAAGAAAAAAAAATCTCGTGTAATAAAAATACTTCTACGCATTTTCGTCTGTCGAAATCAACCTTATCTCTACTCCATCAGCTTCACTTACAAACTTTCTCAAACTCATTTAATAGATACTTGATACTCATATCAAATTTACTACAAAGATTGCTTGTCATTTTGTGAAGTATTACAGGTAACTAATGGGTATATATATACATTATAAATTAATGCAATGAGTGTTACAGTAAAATAGATGCTAATTAACTTATTTGTACAAACACAAAAATAGTATTCTTTGATAGTAATGTTAGTAACATATAATATTTACCTTCTACACTAACTGGATGATTTTATTTATAATTCAAGATGGCTGATATAGTATGTTAGAATATAAGTTTTCATTGTCATTAATTTCTTCTAATAATCAAATTGATATGAGATATTTAAAAAAAACTGATTTTAAACAAACAACCAGATGGAATAAATAAATGTTTCATTTACATGTCTACAGTACGAAGGGATCGAATAAAAATTTTTGAGTATAATATTAAAGAAAACAAGTGAAGTATGATATTATTTCGGAATTGAATTTTTTTTTTGGTGAAAACACAAAGAGTGGAAATAAAAATTATGAGAAAAAAAAATCATTCAAGAACATTAGAAAATTATAACGTACAGGCACAATGAAAAAAATTGCTGAGTCCTGACATTGTTTCGATTATTAACTATGCGATTTTTATATTAAATAGTTTGAATTCGCACATAACTCTAAGATGTGTGTAAACAGTTGAAACTGTTTAAGCGTGATCTTTCAGTCTGTCAAAAGTAATTAACGAAACATAGAAAAATAAATGAAAAGTAGAGAACATTAAAGATCTAACCGGGGAACCTTTCGAGGTAATAAAAAGCTTTTGAACTCAGACTGCTCTCATCTTGAAGGCTTTAATGATTAGTAGAATACCCCAATTTGATTTATCTCCTTAACACTTTGTGGTGGAATTTTGCCTATTTCAAGTTTCCAGCGAAAAATACGATTTTGCCTCTAAATCTTTGAGTCTTCACTCAAACTACGTCCGATAAAAGGGTGATATTTTTATTGTGATCACTAGTCATAGTGGTCATAGTTTGCTAAAAATTTCAGACTTTTACCTCAATACCTTCAGCAGTTTTCGAGAATTTTGGAAACTCTTTAAAATTCGATGCTATTGTATGTGACTTCTCTCCGAGATGGAAATATTAATAAAGCTGATATTTTGAGCATAAAAAGAAAAAGTTATTATCTAAATGCAGTAAAAATTTGAGCTCGTTTGAACATTCATAGATGAGACTCTGTAAAGCACCACTATTCATACATCTATGCGGTTACTCATTCTATCGGAGAAGTAAGAGTCATTAGAAACAAGCTTTGAATGGTACAAGACTAACTTTATTCTTATATTGTCT